TACCCAAAAGACACAAAAACACTGATTGAAAAAGATACCTGCACCCCCATGTTTATTGCTGCTTTATTCACAATTGGAAAGACATGGAAACAGCCCAAATGCCCAATAGTAGATGACTGGATTAAAAAGACATGGTACATATACACAATGGAATATTACTCAGCAACCAAATAAATAAACACATGCCTTTTGCAGCAATGTGGATGGAGCTGGAAAAGATCATGTTTAGTGAAATGAGCCAGAAAGGAAAGGAAAAACACTGGATGGTTTCACTCATAGCAGGAGTATAATGGCGAGAAAATAATAATAATGAACAGCTATAGACCAGAGACATTTTATGGGGGTGGAGTTGGGGGATGGAATCAAAAACAGTGGCGGGAAGGAAATGCACTGGACTATGGTAATGGCACATGGGTGATCTGGTGATGGGAAGCCCATGGGGATTACAGCTGAGATGAAGAAATGCACAAAATGATATAAAAATAAACTATTATTTAAAACATTTTTTGATTTGTGTATAGAATATTGAGGGGCATTTCAGGAGATTCACCAGGAGGCTGCTCATAGGATGGTTTGGGCAGGAGGAGATAAGAGATGGGGTACCCTGTGTAGGATGATCATCGGGGGTGGTGGTGGAACTGATTGTGATTAGTATGTGAACGAGTTTTTTGTTTCCTGTTTTTGGTATAGTTGAATAGTAGTCTCCATGTTAGAATCATGTCACTCAAAATTTTGTTCATCTATCAAGTTGGCATAAATATTGACACCTGACCATCGGAAGCTGTGTGTGACTAATGTATTATCAGTTACTAGGAGTTTCTGTTGGAGACCCAAAGCACCTCTGACCAGCAGCAGGTGAATCTGGGGAAATGGCTGTCCCTCAGATGCTGTAAGGTTTTTTGGGGGTCACATCTCAGTGCTGATCCATTTGATTTAGTCAGAGCAAGGCACATGTGCTCTTTGGAGATGATTGTTTTAGAAAGCAGAGCAAGAAAATAGAAATCAATGAGCCAGAAGCCTTCCCAGGCACTGAGAAAGACCTCTCCAGATTTGTTTAGCTTCTCTTAGCCCCATTACCCTTTATTCTTACTTGTGTTTGTTGTGTCCTAGGAAGTGACTCAGCCTGGGAGCAGCACATCAGCACCACCTCAGAACACAGCTGCTCCCCCGCCCGCGCCACTGGACCAGTCTCTCCTGACCAAAATCACCTTCTTGAAGGTTCTCCTCTGGCTGGTCCTCCTGGGACTGTTTGTGGAACTGGAATTTGGCCTGGCTTATTTTGTCCTGTCCTTGTTCTACTGGATGTATGTGGGGACACGAGGCCCAGGAGAGAAGAAGGCCGGAGAGAGGAGCGCCTACTCAGTGTTCAACCCTGGCTGCGAAGCCATCCAGGGCACCCTGACTGCGGAGCAGTTTGAGCGGGAGTTATTGTACAGGCCCCTGGCGGGGAGGTAGGACCCCCGCACGCTGTCCTGCAGCTCGTGCCGCCTTGGATGTGCTCCCAGGGATGTGCTCCCAGACCCTGGCACAGACTTGTGGGTTCCAGGTGCCCCAGGAGAACGGCTGGTGACCTCGAGTTTCTTCCAGTCTTTTGCTATCTACTCCTGCAGTTTTATCCTTGAAAAACTTCTTTTGGTTTTGTTAAAATTTCCTGAAAGACACTGTGTGTCTGATGCAATTTATAAAACTTACATACTCAACAAGAAGATGGTCTTATTATTTGAGGTGATTTTAGAGTGCTAGAAAGGCATTGGGGAGAAAAATAGTTTAGAACATCAAACTGCTTAATGATTGTGCATACCTTAAGACTATATTAAAAGTAAATGTTCTCCTTAAGACTTAATATTTATAGCATTTTTTCCCTTGAGAAGTTTTAGGTTGTGAGTTTTTTGTTTGTTTGTTTGTTTGCTTTTGCTTCTTGTTTAAGTCTTCCCTTTTCAGGTATTAATGGCATTGAAAAATAAAATAAAAACAGCTGCTTTTCAGAAAAGGCTCAGTGCCTGTCCATGTCTTCCATTCTCTTTAGTTATTCAGCCCCCACTCAGTAAAGAAAAGACAAAGTCCTCAGTGGGTGGGGTGGGGAGAGATTTCACAAAGTCCATATTGGTAGATTTGATATGTGATCACATTTAAAAAGAAAAACTTGGCCCTCCCTGGTGGTGCAGCGGGTTAAAGCACAGCACAGCACTGAGAAGCTAAAGCCGTTTCCGCATGAGTTCGATCCCCGCCTGCCCCAGCGAAGATCCACATGGCGAGGCAGACCTCTCCTGGCCCGCCTGCTGCTCCCCTCAGCAGTGTACTTGGTCGATCTGTCTGTTCTGCTCCCCACTCTGTCTCTGGTGAAGTCTCTCACCCTCTGCATCTCTGGCCTGTACCCCAGTTCCATATGAATAAATAAATATTTAAAAAAAAAACAAAAACTCTTGAGTGTGTGCAAAAGGGAACTCTGGATGTGGAGTCCACTTACTGGCTACTGAGAGTTTCTGATTTCCTGAGGCTTGAGCCTGTGTGGGCAGGCGGGCCCTTCCCCTGTGGGCCTCTGATGAGAATTATGTACATAGTGCTCATCAAGCACACTCTCAGTGTTCCTCCTCTGGGACACAGAGTTTGGGTTCATTAAACTTGGGCAAAACAAGCCACTGAATTCTATTTTGTGGTTCATACTGATGAGTAAGCAGACTCTGGGTCTAAAACTTTTTTTTTTTGCAAAAATAATATTTTTAAAGAAGATTTATGCATACAAAAGCTGGGGTACAGGCCAGAGATGCAAGGATTCACCAGAGACAGAACAGGGAGCAGTACAGGCAGATTGACTGAAACATACTGCTGAGGGGAGCAGCGGGCAGGATGGGAGAGGTCTGCCCCATGTGGGTCATCCTGGCCAGGGAATTGAACTCATGCTGCAGTGGCTGTAGATAGCTTCATAGTGCTGTGCTTTAACCCATTGTGCCACCAAGGAGGGCCCCAAAATGATTAAGAAATTAATCATTCAGTAAGTTTGTAACTTCAGACTTCAAGTTATTATGAAAATAACTAATATTTATGAGATGTTACTGTGTCGTAGAGGCCTTTCGTTGGTTCTTTATTCATTCTTGCCAATTAACATACTAGCACAAACTGAGTTCATTTTCAACTGAACTTTTATTCAGTGAATGCCAGGAGACTTTTCATATAACAATGAAAAAAGTGAACATAATTTGAGTTCTCTGAACACAGCCACACCAGTAAGATTGTGAGAGGCTTTATTTATAGAAGGAGTTGTAGGAGGGGATATGTAGTTATAAGGAGGTGTTCTCATTACACCCAGTAGCTGACTAGCCCCACGTGTTTCAGCCTTGTTGAATAGATAAACACTGCTTCTCTCTCCAGCCCTTGGCTGATTAGGAGACTGGCTGTCTCTCAGAACTGTCCAATTAAGCAGAAGTTCCTGTTAGCTCGCAAAGCAGTTTTTTCTTCCATGACTCCTATCTGATCTGGACCTGTAGAAAGTATAGGCAGCAGACAATTCCCTTTTAACTATGAAAATTTGTATTGTATTTAAGATGGATGGTTTTCTTTCCTGATTAATTTGCTCGAGGTTTTCTTCATTTTCCAATGTGTAACGTGGGCTTTTCCACTTAATGAAAGCCAAATGCAAGGAAGAAATAGCTCTGCTTGGCAATTCACTGCAATGCTCAGGTCAATAAACATTGTTCTAGGAAATAATTTGCACTTAAAATACATATGCGTGTATTTGGGGTGAAAATGATTTAAACATATAGGTATAATTCAAATTTTACCCTAAAATGAAAGGCCTATAACTGAATCAGGGCCATTTGATTCAATTAATAAGCCCGGCAAGGTAGGAACTTCTCTTAAACATGGAAGATACTCAACTTTGGAATGGACCTCAATAATGTTCTTTGAAAAACAACAGTTTTAGAATGAGGTGGCTCTTAGGTTGCCTTAAGTCTGTCTTTCATGGAATTTTCTGTGAATGATGTGGCATGTCTCCTTGTTCGCCTCTTCCCAGAGGTTACATGGAACGATAGCATTAACTTCTAGGAACAGGGACCAATTAAATGCCTGAAGGGGAAGAGAAGGAAGGACAGTTCGTATTTGCTTGCTGTTCTTATCAGACCATTAAGCTTTAGGTGCAGCCTTGATTTATTGAATTTAGAAAGACCTATTGATCTTGGAATTTCTGCTCAGGACCTGGCCATTAGCCGGGCAGGCAGCTTCCATTAAAAGCTTCTTCTGTCATCAGGGAATTTGAAACCCCAGAAATGTGTGCAGTTCCTATGATAGCCATGTGCGCGGAGAGGTTGGTTCTGTCCATGTCTGGGAAGTAAATTGGCTTTTGCTTTTATTCACATTATCCCATCTTGCCTATTCAGAGAAATGTTAAATGAGCCTCTACTTGTAGGGCTGGAAGGAACCGCCAAATGACTTCAAATTTCCCTCCCCTGCTTTAGGTAGAGTCACATTTATCCCTGACTAAAGGTTTTTTTATTTTTTTCTTCTAGTCACCCTTAGAGAAGAATCCAGGCATAAGATTAGGGTACTTCCTAGGATGTTCTTTATGGAAAAAACTTTTGCCATCCTCCCCTGTCACTCCAGATTATTCTCAGCTCAGTAGGCACGGAACACCATCCAGACTGGTAAGCCGTTGCTCAGTTTTCTCTCAGGCCTCTGTTCTTCAGGCTACATTATCCAAGTTGTATTTCTGCTACATCATTTTCAAGCCAACTCTGACCTACTCTGAGGATCCCAGGAATGAATGAGATGAATGTCCCTGTTGGCAGGTACAAGGAATCTTTCTCAAAAGTTTTGGATTTTACCAAAGATGATTTAGGCATATATGTTTTGTGGTATGAAGACTGCTCTCTGAGTGTAGGAGCTATTCCACATTTGATTTTCTGACTGATTTGTATGTCAGAAAAGAACCACATAATCGAACTCATGCGGAAATGGCTTTAGCTTCTCAGTGCTGTGCTCTAATCCGCTGCACCACCAGGGAGGGCCAAGTTTTTCTTTTTAAATGTGACCACATAACAAATCTACCAAGACTAGGAGCTGGTATAACGGGCAGGAAACTCAATCCCTAATTTCAATTAAGACTCAAAATCCCCATGCTTAAAAAAAAAAAAAATTAGAAAGTTACACAATTGGCAAAAAGAATGATCCTCAGTCGGGAAGAAGAAATTCAAATTCTGTGTTTTTGCTTTCTGTCACATTCACACACTTACAGAGCTGTAGTTCATATAAAAGTAGGTTAATTCCTATTTGCCAGCAAATATTTGTAGGTGTCCTGGGCTTGTCATTGCTGGGAATCCATAAATAACCTTCCGGAGTGTGAGTCAGCTTTGAGAGTCCAGTGATGTGGGGTGGGGCTGGGAATCTTGGCGCATCTTACCACCAGGGGGTAGCATAGAGCTGACGCTGTACGGTGGGTGCCTTCACATCACACTTCATTTATGTAATGTGGCACCCCCGCACCCCCACCCGGGATGTTTATCTGAACCACTTGTGCTGCTTTTCCAGGCAATCCTTTCATTTTAAGGTTCACAGAGGAAAAGGGCTCATCAGAGGTCCTGGGAAAGGCATAGAAAGCTATCAGAAGTGATTTAAACATGTTTTAAAATAAAACAACAGCCCCCCTCTAGACGTAGAAGGCTGTATTGCAACCATGTTTGTCCACATCTGAGCTTTGTCGGGACAGTGGGAGAAAAGACTAGGAGCTGGAATAACGGGCAAGAAACTCAATCTCTAAGCCAAAGAAAGCAAACTTTGGTTGCTTTGGTTTTTGCTATACAAACTTTTATATCACAACATGGGTGCGCTGGGCTGGATAAAAACTTTTGGATCTTGCTTTTAGGACACTGTCAGAGAAGATAAGGTGAGTGTCTAGAACACAATGCAGGTGTTTTTACAGCTGTGGGGGAAGGGTGCAGCGAGGGGCTGTCAGGAGATTTGTCACTTGCAAATCTAAATTTTATACTCTTTAAGACTGTCACTTTTATGTGAAAAATATGAATTGTCCTTAAGGTTATGGAGGAAGGTTGTGACCACCTGCATCAGAATCTCCTAGAGCAATGTTCAAACGTAGGTTCCAGGCCTCCTGTCACACCTACCCAAGAATAAGACTCCAACACACCTACCCACTCAGAATGTCTGAGGGTAAGACTCCAAGAATCTGTGTTTTAGCAACCTCTCTGGGGTCACTGCCAGCTGACCGAGGACCTAGAGCCTTTGATATAAATCATAAATGTTAAAATAGGTAGAGAATTTAGTGATCCGGAGAGCCAAGCACAATCTTACAAGGGACACACAGCTCACCATTTTCAGTTTCTTCTTAGTGTCGGTTGGAATACCAACACTGAAAAGAAATGAAAATTGCATATGGCTTTAAAACAATGAGAAACAAATTCTAAAGACAGCTCGGTCATTAATTACAGTAATCACTGTAAGTAAAGGGGCTTTACTTTTGAAGTTTTCTTTAAAAATAATTATTAAAATAATTATTACAAAAGGAGTCCATTCTTTTCAGAACATTTTGGAAATATAGAAAAGGATATTTTATTTTTGTATTTTTATGCTTGTATTTCAGAACTCATGAGGACATGGGATACACAGGGAGACAGCCTCTATCCCATCATCATGCTGCTGCTTTCTCTAGCCCACAAATGACATAAATACAATGCTGCCCCCACACTTTTTTCCTTTTTTAGAAGTTAGCATTTATTTACTTACCATGACCAAACACATGCAATTTTCATGTAAGAGAAGGATATCTAGTTTTCATTTTTAAAAGGTCACCTAGGCTAGCACATGGAGACTAGAAGAGTTATCTATGTCAGTCTTTTCTCTGCCTATCCACCCACCCACGTATTCATCCACCTATATCCCATCCATCTACCCACCCACCCATCCATCCATCCATTTGTCCATCCATCCACATCCACCCATCTGTCCATGCGTCCGTCTGTCCATGTGTACATCCATG